TGATTCCGAATCTGACTTCCGTTTTTGCTAATCGTTTCTCGGAAAAAAGTTATGAAGGGTTTTCGCGCCAAAGGAGATGTCGTCGAAATGCCAGAACTGCCATTAGGATGTGGTGTAGTGGTTAGTGCAATATCCTCGCGAGTTGATGCAGGTTTAGGTTCGAGTCCGTTTGTTTTTCAGTTTTGCATTGCCTCAATCAAGCTTCTTTTTGAAAATTATGCATCTTCGACCGCATTACTCTTAGGCGACCATTAACGCAAAAATCCTTCATAATTTCCTCCAGAGGAACGATTAGCAAAAACGGAAGTCAGATTCGGAATCAGCGTTCCAAGACGAATGTGATGGTGTACGTTTCATCTCAAAAGGCCACGGACATCATGTATCGTTTCCTTGTCAGAATGGTGTTGCTTCTTTATTTGAACTGTATTCAGTGCCACCCACGGGAAGAGGTGTCAGCCTTCTGCAGCACGTCAAAAAAAATTGACTCATCATCTGAGTAAAGCTTGGAGCGTGTGCCGCCCACCTGGGGATCGTAATGAGGGGTCGGAGTGTGGGGATCATGGCGTGAGTTAGCGATAACATGTTGTGTATTAACGAACTCAGATGAGCGCATTATGCAGAATTGAAGTACACTGAGGTGTTGATCCTATTATCGTATACTTGTTGTAAGCATATTGAACAAGCGCTATCAAGCATACTGAGAATCATTTTGTAATTAGCATGTTAAAAAAACCCCATGGACCAAGACTATTTTGACGAATTCTGAACTTTCCAAAATGCGGGCCACTCAAGTGGAATATTCAATTCCAAACATGATTAATTTTGTTTTAGCTACCTCTTTTTGCTCAAATATGAGAAATTCCACTCTATTACCCTTTGAACTATGGAATAAGGAGCCAGCCGAATTGTCGCTGGACTCATTTTCGCCTTCAATGGTTGCGCTTCCAGCAACTGCATACTCACAGTAAAGCAGACTCAAAGAAATACGCCTATCGCGGAAATTTTTTTCCTTGTGAGACGCTGCATGCAGTAAGCAGAATTAGTTCTTCTAATAACTTCCGAGTTCCATTCTGCTTGAAATATTAATTTGTTATTTTATTACTGTAGTATTATGTTATTATTTGCTTGTTCTTGAACGAAGACAGGCGATGAATTGACGCAATCTGCTCCGTATTTTTGATCCAATCTTCCAAGAGAAGGCAAGTGCTAGGTTGGATGAAACGATTACAGATCTTTTTGCAATCACCTGGACCGCGCAACTGTTTGAGATCGACGCCTCTATGTGTTGGGAAGGAAATCCATTGTAAGACTTCAGTTATCATCAGGGTCAAGCAAGGGGTGTGGCACACGATCGCTGGTTACAACCCCCCCCCTGATTGCTGTCTTAATAAGACCCCCCCCTGGACCATACCCTTAAGATAGCATTACTTGGAGGCCCTGTCAAACATAATGGGCAACATATCCATAATGAGCATGTCAATTAACCCCTGTAGACAAAGTTTGAGCGAATTCTGAAGATTCAAGATACTAGGCTACCTAAGTGAAATGGTCAAATTCCAACTGGTTAACTTTGTTTCAAAGGTGAATTAGCTATCCGTTTTCGCACTCAAGACAAAGCACTACTCCTTCTTTGACCAACTCAGGAATCCCGCTTCAGAAGACCTCCAAACTGTGGAATTAGAAGCCAACCAAAATCTCGTTTTTCCCATTTTTCGCTTTTGATCGCTGTGCTTTCACCAAATATTACTCAGGTTAAGAAGACGAATCAGGCTCCAAACAGTCCTATGGAATCTACAAGGTTTAGGCTATCGATTCATATAAATACTGTCCGCTAAAAATGTTTTTTTGATATAGTTAATGGCCTGCGGCACCCCCCCCCCTCAAAACCTGCGGCAGCCGCCTAACGACCCCCCCCCCCCCTGCGGCGTGCCGCACCCCCCGCTTTACCATAGTTAGATATCATCGACGGATCGATGATTCCCCTTATCACCCTAATACCCATGCCAGTTGACGTCACGCTGAGGGGGCGGGCTATGTCTGCCATGTGGCTCCCTGTGAGGTCAGTGGAACTCACGATCTGACTTTGACCACCGCAGGTCATTATTCGCACGTTATCGCCTACAGTATCCAAATAAAGAACCACCTAGAATCTATCTCTCTTGTTTACCGTATACCATCGTATTCCGACCCCAACATCGGTCGAAGAGTCTCCACCGCGTACATCAGTAGTAATAGAAATAAGTTCTATTGATAGGCGAGCGCAGAACTCATGGATGCGGTTCTTCCCGTGGAACGCATAATGTGCAGGCAGCCGCCAAAGATGGAACCGGATCAAGCTGTATATCGTTTTTGGGGAAAAGCAAAGAGGATGTAGTTTTTGCGTGATTCTCGGAGAAGAGCCGCAGGCATGCCGCCGAAGTGCCGCCGGCATGCTTGCGGCATGCAACCAGCATGCCCGGCTCCAAACAAACAGTGTGGTCCAAACAATGTGGTTTTTATGAAAACTTATGTGAATGAAAGCCGTGCCGAACTTTCTTCCCAATTAGTTGCAACCGTTTCAGCTGGGTTCCAGCCAGCTCACATAATTTTTTAAACCTTTTGCATGTACTGCATCATCACCGTGAAAATTTTGATAGGAGCAAAGATTCATTTCACAATCTTTGCTCTAGGCTTTTTATACCCCTCATAATTCTGTTTGGTGGTGCAATCTGCTCCGACGAAGCCCACCTTACCATTAGAGGCACCGTCCAGCCAGATTTTCGACTTCCATGTTTTTGCCGTTCCAGGGCCTGCTCATACCTGCTGATTCTGGATATCAAATCGAGACCGCGAAAACTCGAAAAACCCCCCGTTTCCAGAACCCGCAGGGCGAGTTCTCCGGAACGGTGATTGGTAGTGTGCGCACGGATGGGTGGGACGAACGTCACACCTACTCGAAGGGGAGGAGCCGACGTGGCGAAATTGTCATGCGAGCAATTTTCGAGGCAATTTTCTCGCTTCAGAAGCAACTTCTACCAGCGCGAGTTGGACAAGTACACAGTTGGGAGCCCCACCATTGTTAGGCTTTGAAATCTCATCAAACCCAATTTTTCGTGGACGGTGCCTTTATAGGTAGCGTGCACCCAAGATGGGGTCGATGATTTTCTGATGCCTAACGTTAGCGGGGCCCCAGCTGTATACTTGTCCACTCGCGCTGACAAAAAATGCTTAAGAAAAATGCTCAGAAAATCACTTAGGATGACGGATTAGCGCGTCGGCTCCTCCCCTTTGAGTGGGCGTGACGTTCGTCCCTCCACTCCGTGCGCATCCAACCAATCACCGTTCAAAACTCGCTCTACGGATTCTGTAAAACAAGGATTGTCGGGGTCTTCGCGGATTCCTGACTTAATATTCGGAATCAGGGACATGGGAAGACTCCGCAGCTACAAAAAGATGGAAGTCGAAAATCTAGGTGAACAGTGCCTTTAAACGCAGTGTCCGGGCAAAAACTCGGTTTTGAGATTTTGTGCTTACCCGGGCCTTTTCGCTATGCTGAATCCGAAAATCCACATTGGAAAGCGCGAAAACGACGAAAAAGGGCCCTAACACAGGAGGGAAATCAGCAGGTGGGCGGGGCTTTCCCCAGTGCGATTTCACGCTCCTGACTCCCGGAGCGATTTTCTCGATTCCGCTAGCCGTCCTAACATCGCTACCGGTCAAGTGCGAATGATTGACTTGAAACCGGAAGCGAGAAGGTCGCTCCGGAAGCCGGGAACGTGAATTCGCAGTGGGGAGGGCCCCGCCCACCTGCTCATTTCCCTCCTGTGTTAGAGCCGTTTTTCGCCATTTTCGCGCTCCACAATGTGCATTTTCGGATTCAGCGTAGCGAATAGGCCCAAGTAAGCACAAAATCTCAAAATCGAGTTTTTGCCCGGACACTGCCTTTAAGTGGGGGCAGTTACCTCAGGCAGCCTGACCTCCAACTTTATCTCCAAGGAAGCTTCTCCATTTGTATTTCATGTCGTTTATTAGCACATACCTCTGGGTAGAGGACATTAGGGTCGCCATTAGACTCCACCCACGCGGATAGATAGATGAGATAGTAATGGTAAAGGCGCGCGGTTTGTTGCAAATGTTCCTGTGGGACCGCCCCTTTCGAAGACCTTATATCCTCTACCTTATACTCATTAGATTACACATTAAGTGATGGTCTTATTTTGACTTGTTTTGAATCTGGAGTAGTCCATAGAGCGGAAGCACTCAACAAAAACGCCGTAATTGGAGTTCTGGGAACACTCCTAAATCACTGTTTGTTATCAATATAAAATGAAATTTATAGTTTAGCAGATCATTACTTTGCTACGAGTACAACAAGGCTGGCTTTTTTTGTTTTGAAATTTCAATCATGTTTGGAAACGATGCTTTTCACATGCTGGGAAAAATTAAGTAGCAGGTATGATGATTTCTATGGCCCAAAGATGTGATTTGATGGCTGATTGCGGGCATCACACCCTCTTTACATGGTAGCTTCCGGTGGCTGTACGGTAGGTAATGAAGGTCTGGAATTGGCTGAAACATCGGTAGTAGAGTTAGGTATGCTATCCACAAGTATTTAAGCTTCGCAATAATTAGCAAATTTATTTTGGGGAGGCTATGGCATTTATCGATAGCGCTTTTGCTCTTCATTCTATCCAGTACTTTCTCTTTTTAGAAAATTTCGCTTTTTATTGACCTCTGAGTTATACTAACTATAGGTTAAGTAATCATCGAAGGTTGAAGTTCTTTGTTCTGCTTGTGCTACCTCCATCCATCTCCAGATTTAACTGACATTTATTTCTTTGATTTTTTCATCAATGTACAATCATATGTCGCAACAAAATAATGACGTCTTACCCAAAATCACCGGTAAACAATTTGTAGCAATGTGCGCTATAACTCGACAAATATACATACTTGTGCAAGAAATGCACTAATTACACATAAGCAACCCGAATTTTATGACTCTGCGATTTTTTCCAGCACTAACTTAATCGTTGTGAAATTCCTGGCACATGACCGTTCAAGGGTTCGAGAGAAACAATGGCGATGCCGTCTTGAGCAACTTCGGTGCGAGGGTCTTCTTCTGAGAAAATAGACGTTTGTTGAAGGAAAAGGGGAATAATATTCAAATAAAAGTGAACGAACTCTTCCTTGGACCCAAGCCCACAAGCGAGGCTAAAATTAGGTAGGCCTTTTTTGCCTTCCCAGCAACTCCAGCAAACAAGAAGTGAATGGCATAGAGTACCATCTGTAGAAGAGTGATGATAGATAGGCCAAGAAAAAAACCAAACTGTCCTACAATAATTATTGCACCATAAGAAAACAGGAAAAAGTTCACTTCATGCTTACAAACCTCCTATTTGTGACATAAATCCCGGAACGGTGGTCGTGTAGACCTCTTTCACGTATTCATACTAGAATAATATAAGTTGAATTAGAACTCGACACTTTTCTGGATTGCTTACTTGCAGGTCATTGAACGAAGCTTCAAGGTTAAAGACATGATCTGTAAACGGAGAAAGGGTTTGGCTTTGCTGAAGAGCTGTTTGGTAGTCCCACCGTAAACAGCCAGGAGTGCACTGCAAGAAATCCACCTCGTTATAATAAAATTTGAATTTTTTGTAAGAACTCACATTTTCTTCAACGTCTGCAGAGTTCCATACCAATTGTATATTATCGTAATAGTGTTCAGCAACAACATCAGGAGTGCAAACACCTTTTGTTGGAGGAAGTTTTCCGATGCTAGTTAAGTATGCCAAAGTGCAGTTGAATGGATAGACGATATTAGACAACAACCATTTCCGTATGACGCACTCAGCATCTTTACCAAAAATCTGAAAAACTGCGGATTGTCTGAATGAAGAACCCAGTTATCTCAGCTGTTAGCCAGGGGGGGGGGGGAATTACTTGTGGGTGTCAGTTACAAATTGCCGCGACGCGGCGTTACAGCAATCCAGGCGAGAGGCACCAGAAACGGAGAAAATGCCTCAAAGGAAATGCTTAGGGGACACGTTAGTATTGTGTACAAAAAGTACATATTTTGTCATTAGATAAATGGTAATTTCCAAAATTCCATTCACTATCTATTTCATTTTTACAAGATTTGGGGCCAAACCTTCATTGAACAGTAAAATTTGATATGGCAGTGTGAAAACATTCACAAAAGATGGAATAGTATGCCTTGCGAGTAGGCTACTCGAGCTCTCCTTGCTACTGATTACGCCAGCCCGTCGCGCGCGGCGCCTGCGTAATTGACAGTCACAAGTAGTAGGATACACCCGTTAGCCAGTATTGCCAAAGCTATACTATCCCTCTCATTTTACGCCTTTGAACGAAAAAAAATGTGTTTTCCTTCAGTGTCCACCTCCACCTTTCCTCGTATCATAAAAAGCCTCTAGGTCGAACAATTTTATTGAGTATTTTTTGCCACCTTTAATTCTTCTGATATGAAACCCTTTCTCTGAAATCTTTTATGCTTGTTTTCTTGTCCTTTTTCATATGTCTTGCTTTTCTTTTGCAATCTCTAATTCTTGAGAGAAATACTGCTTCAACATAGGCTCGCTCGATCTCAAAAAGGGTATCCAACTTCCAAAGGACGATAGGATTTCTCAGTCGACCGTGGATGTAATGCTTCTACTCATGAGCACTTAGCCATCGACTTTTTGGTCAGACATATAAGTAAATACATAATTGATTGAGTGAACTGTCATCATAGTTTTGCCTCACCAAAATCAGGCTTTTACCATATTGGTTGGTCCCCCTGTAATATTAGATGGTATCGGGTTGAGCATTAGCAGGCGCTCCTCGCATTTCACATGAGTGGAATGCGACAGAAGAACCACTTCATTTCAAAGAATTTTGTCTTAGCATTTCATACACTGAAATTCAAGAAAGGTCCGAATTTGAAATGTACTCCTTTATAATGGTACACTCATGAAAATATCAACGAAGTACAGTTATGACAGTGGAATGTGAAAAATTTCGGCGAAACTCCCTTCGTTGTCAATGTATTTCAAACTTGAAGGCAGATTTGGATTCAGGTCGCCGAGACGAATCTTTTCTTTCATTGAACTACTGTAATCGGCTCGGTCACGGTAAGTGCATGGTAGGAGTCCGTTGTATCCTGTGGTGGTGGTTTCTAGGGTGTGTATTTCGACGCATAATGTAGGCAATGGTTTAAGACAAAGAGCGCTTGATGGAAGAGTTTCTGCAGAGTGTCCCCTGCAGAGAACCATATCGTTTTTTGTTGTGAAAAAATGAGAAAGGGGTACGTGAACTTAGTAAATATGCATGAATCACTTACCGTCAAACAAGTATAACTATACAGTAATATTATGATTAGCAAAACAGTTATAATCTTTGTGTTTAGCATGTCTTATTGCTTATGTGAGCGAAGTGACACACCGTATGACTACGATTTTCTGCTTACAGCGGACTTCATTTTTTTCTGTAGACGCCTCTTTGCAACGCTGTGGCCCAGCCCCTATCACACTTAAGATATTCCGGTAAGGTGAATAGGAAAGAGCTATTTCCATAGATAATCCAGCGGTGAAACATAGACGGAGATATGCTTTTTGAAGCGTGAAAAGAGAGGGTGAATTTTGGAAAAATCCATATCTACCCAAATTATCTATCATAACGCTACAATGAAAAGCTAGCTAGACAGGCGGAAGTGATTTTTGTGATGAACACGTCAGATTACCTCTATGAGCAAGATTTCGGGAAGATCTGAGCTTTCCGATTTTTTCACATTTCACGCTTCGAGCTCTCCACGAATCTTCGCGAAAAAGTTGAAAATAGTATGACCGGAAACTTTGCCAATATTGGTTTTTTGATAGCCGTTTACGAAAGGTGCAGTCCTTACTGACTGTAGCGCTTTACGGTGAATTTACGATGAAAGGGCCGAAGCTGAACCACGCGAACTCCGAAAATTGACTGTACTTTTCGGCCGACTATCAAAGATAAATCCCTAGCTTTTTCAAGCGTGGCAATCTACAGAAAATCGGTTGTCAGACCGTGCTTAAATCATTCTGTTGCTTGCAGTATTCGCTAAGCAGCGCATTAACAAAGTCGCTTTCTCATGCTTTGGGCTGGACATGAGAGAGCGCGTATTGTATCCAAACTTCACCCCAAGTGAATCTGTGATGATATGTACAATACCGCTTACATTTTTTGAGAAATAGAAGCGAATGTCACGGTCCCATAAGTCACGCGACGGTCGCATGAGTTATGCGACGGTCGCCAAATGTATGGACATCACCGTCGCGTGGCCATATCTCGCTTCAGAGTGAACGAATTCCGAATCCAACACCATTCGATTCAGCTCGGGAGCATCTTCGGACATACTAGAAGTGTGGGGTACGATGTCTTCGATATTCCGTTTTTCCAGTTTTCTCTTCGCGGATATGTGAAGCAGCGCCTATCCAACATAGAAGATTCCACTAAGTACTGTTCGATAATGCAGTTCTTATAGATTATTCTGCAAAATGGGCTCAGACTTTATTCCAAGGCAGATAGAAGCATTGGCGCATTCTGTAAAAATTACGCGTTTTCAAATTCTACTCGCCATAACTTCCTTCGGAATAAGTACATTTTGAATCTGAGAACACTGCTGTGCTCATCTCATCAAGGCGAATCTTTTGATATACATCATGTCCTTGATATTTCGATTTCAGTATTCTTGAATCTTCTTGAATTTGGATTATCTATGGAAACAGCTCTTTCCGATTCACCTTACCGGAATGTTTTAAGTGTGATAGGGGCTGGGCCACAGCGTTGCAAAGAGGCGTCTACAGAAAAAAAATGAAGTCCGCTGGAAGCAGAAAATCGCAGTCATGCGGTGCGTCACTTTGCTCACATAAGCAACAAGACATGCTAATCACAAAGATTATAACTGTTTTGCTAATCATAATATTACTGTATAGTTATACTTGTTTGACGGTAAGTGATTCATGCATATTTACTAAGTTCACGTACCCCTTTCTCATTTTTTCACAACAAAAAACGATATGGTTCTCTGCAGGGGACGCTCTGCAGAAACTCTTCCACCAAACGCTCTTTGTCTTAAACCATTGCCTACATTATGCGCCGAAATACACACCCTAGAAACCACCACCACAGGATACAACGGATTCCCACCATGCACTTACCGTGACCGAGCCGATTGCAGTAGTTCAATAAAAGAAAAGATTCGTCTCGGCGAGCTGAATCCAAATCTGCTCTCAATTTTGAAATACATTGACAACGAAGGGAGTTATGGCGAAAAGACGCAAAGTCGGCGACAGGCGACATCGGTGAATTTGGCGAAAGTGGCGAATTCGCCAATTTTTCACATTCCACTGTCATAACTGTACATATGTTGATCGAAACAGCTTCCTTAATCAGCATCGCAGAGTAAATTTAGCAACTGCTAAGTAAAGTTACATTTTTTAAGCCCAAAATCTAACGAACACCATGCAACCAAAGCCGAGTGTTCCAACAGCAGACAGCACATAATGTAAAGGCCGTAAGTGCAAGGTACCTCAATTTCATGAGTATGGGACGTGGGGGATTTATTTTTGAAATCGAACAGCACAGACAAGCCGAAGGACTTCGCGACCAAAAAACTATACACAGTGCTGCATATTGTCTAGTATTATGCGGCATAAGTCTCGTTTTGCGAAGTAGATCAAGGCTGAGCGGCTCACTTAAAAAAAGATGCGTCCTATACACGCGAAATTAGGGCAGTTGATCACTTGTAAGTTTACAACAGTCCAAATTGTTACCTTTCGTGTGCAGACTTGCTCATTTTCAAGTAGTTCGATATATCGGGCTGTAAATCGCATCCGATTCCATTCATGAGGATACAGGTAAAATCGAGGAAAGTCCAGGACGTTTTCAAAGTTATCGGTCACATAGACAATAACTTGTGGCTGAATAAATTATCATGAAGTTCAGCTTGGAAGGATTTGTGGGTTGATCATACCTGAGAGTAATTGTATTGAGGATTCGTGATGCTAGGCGGAGCTTTTATGTTTAACACTAGCCTACCAATGTCATCTGCTTCTGTCTGAATCGAAGTTTCAGTGATATAGCAGCACTGAAATGGCGAGAACAAACAAACCTGATTGACGTTTCTTCTCGTTTGGTAGCAGATTCCTCTTCGCATGACCACTTGCCTTTTGAAAACATCATTACAGCAGCTCATATCCTTCCCAGCCAGTACACATTTATGAAAGAGTTCTTCACATTTGTATCCATATTTCTCCTGAAAAATTCAACAATGCCAGATTTACGCCAGAATTAGAAATACTTTAATCTTACCTGCTTTACATAGAAAAACTCTGCAACGGTGTATCCCTCTGACCACTTCTTATACAATCCGTTTAGATAGCTCATATAAGTGCGGTTGAAAGAAGACAAATCATCCATATTTTCGAAACCACTACCACCGACCCAGAATCTGCAGGGGTTTGATTTGAGTGTAGTGAATTTTCCATACTCTTTTGATTGTGTAATATATTCTAGAGACTTCTTGGCAATCATTAGCCAACTAAACTGGACGTAACTGGGTATCTATAAAGAATGCTTCCACAAAAGTAACTTTGCGATTTTACTCCATTTCTTAAAGTTAATCGTGTGAGTTGTGATAGCGATGTTTATATGAACAGTAGAAGATCGAAGCTATGCATTAACACCTTGAAATATCTCGATGTTAAATCCTAGCTGGGTTGTACCAAAACGGGGTAAAACCTTTTATTTTTCTTAAAAGAGCTTTTTGTTTTCTCTTCGTTGCATCAAACCACAAACTTCCACGTTACAATGACTGTAAATGTTCCCAGCCAAAGAAAATCCAGTTGGCCACACTACACCTTTCTTGGTTAGACTGGTGCAAGATTATATATGTGTTTCGACATCTTCAACAGATTTTCTCCACGTTACTAATTCGGTAAAAATGAGACATAATATAAACATTTCTTTTAGCATTTTTTATTGGACATGTAACTTGCAGCTAGCAATTGAACGTTATTCGCAAGATTGAAAGGGTATTGCTTCTAATGTTTTTACTGCATTAAGAGCATGAAGTTCTGCATAAGTGAGGTAAAAAATTGCCCGAGATTGAACATCTGTGGAGTGCACTTGGCTCCAGATCTACGACACTTGATATAATCACGTTGTGAATTCACTATAGGAGCTCAAATTGTTAGAGGTGGCCGAATTAATTTGAGTTGCAGCCATCAAACTTTGTGACCGCGCGGGGACCCTCTCTACAGCCTGATAACTACAATTTTCGGCAATGATACTACACATTCCATAATAAACCTTTTGAAGAAAAAAAATTCGACTTACTTTACCAAATCAATAGCCGTAACATCGTCTAGTCCAGGCAGTGAGTTGCGTATATCAGCAAGAAGCCTTGTCTTGTCAAAGGCATCTGGCACTTTCGGGCAAATCGTGATAGCCGGGAGCTCTAATCTGTCCACCTGAGATTCACTTCACTCTTTCTGGTGTTGTAATAAAATACGAGCTAGAATAAAATAGTTCCTGACACAAGTGAATCATGTATATCTTACATAGCCGAAAGTAACAATACTAACGAATTTATTTGTTACACATAATCATATTCTTATATATAAAGCTGAATGTCTGTTTGTCTGTATGTCTGTCTGTATGTCTGTATGTCTGTGTGTACGTATGCTCCGAATAGAAAATTCCATTTCTGAACCGATCGGGACCAAACTTGGCACACATACACTTCGGGCCCCGGCGGGTGTCATAGGCTACTTTTCGTATCGATCGATATCGATTTTATCGATTTTTTGCAAAATTTGAGCTACGGGGCTGGGAGTTGGCACAGGGGGGTAAGTGAGCATGAGGATTCCGAATACAATATTAGTTTTCAAAATCGTGCATTACTTTTATCGATTTTATCGATTTTTTGCAAAGTTTGAGCTACGGGGCTGGGATTTGGCACAGGGGGGTAATCGAGCATGCTGATCATCCCCGTGGGGGTGATCAGCATGCTCGATTACACCCCCCTGCCAAATTCCAGCCCCCTAGCTCAAATTTTGCAAAAAATCGATAAAATCGACATCAATCGATAACGAAAAGTGGACTGTGACACCCGCCGGGGCTCGAAGTGTATGTGTGCCAAGTTTGGTTCGGATCGGTTAAGAAATGGAATTTTCTATTCGGAACATACGGCGGAGACGGGTAAGCCAGCTAGTGAGGAAATAATCACCATTACAGCTATATCAAACTTTACAACCTGCCCAGCCTCAATTATGTATGAAATGTCTATGAGTTCGATATATTACATGATTTCTCAGAAGTATTTATAGTAGTTTTGCATATACTATTTGGATTGCAATGTCCAGAAATAAAATTGCTGACTTTTTACCCTAATCGAATTGTTAGCCTACAATCAAGTTAATGCAGTTTTTTCAGTTTTGCTTTTGCCACCATAAGGGGTCAGCTGGTAGCCCCAATCCGCCCGGCCCTGTCAATGACATCATATTCACAATCATCATGCTCACTTACCCCTTCTGTACACCTAGCCGCGTAGCTCAAACTCTGCAAAAAATCGACAGAATCGATATCGATCGATAACGGAAAGTAGCCTACGACAACCGCCCCGCCCCGAAGTGTATGGGTTGTTTCAGACTGCCGCACTGACTGCAGCAGACTGCAGCAGACTGCAGCTGACTGCACTGACTGCAGCAGACTGCAGCAGACTGCAGCAGACTGCAGCTGACTGCAGCTGACCACACTGACCACACTGACCGCACCGGTCGCAGCCTCTTTTCTTAATAGAAAAAACAACCGCGATTATCAAAACAGCATGATTTGCGCATAAGAAAATCACAAGTTCCATCAGAATTCTTCCCAATCAAATTTTGGCGATAGTTTTCTTTGATATGTTCTTATTTGTTCTAATTCTTCCTATCATTGCATATACCTGTTTTGTAACATTCTAAACTTTGTTGTCTTTTGCTTTTACGTATATATTGTTGTTGCTTGTTTAAACCACAACTATTTATCCTCTCCGCCTGCAGGCTTCAGCCGCTGCGGTCGTTGCGGTCAGTGCGGTCAGCTGCAGTCTGCTGCAGTCAGTGCAGTCAGCTGCAGACTGCTGCAGTCAGTGCGGCAGTATGAAACAACCCTATATGTGCAATATTCGGAACATAGTACACACGACATACATTCAGATAGACCAACAGATATTCGTGTGTATAAAATGGTGAATGACTAGGGTATGGTGGATGGCGGTAAAGCTTGCCGCAAGGGCCCATAGTAGACCTGAGTCATCCCAACTCAGCTGAGAAGATTCCTAGGTAACCCTATGGATCAGCCCAGCAACAACGGCTATCGGTAGATGTGCACCGCTGTGTGGAGATGATAAACGTGTGCGCTTTCGAAAGATTAGAAATATCGTTTTTGCAGGTTTGCTCAAACAATCAGATTATTGCGATTTAATGAGCAGGGCCATGGGGCGTCGTGGCAGGAGTTCCCAAAGCCCCGCCGCCTTTCCTTGCAGGGATACTTAGCGCCTCCAAGGAAATCTCAATGGGGTATTACATTTTCGAAGGGCCGAAGGTCGGCTCCTCACAATGCTTTGCCTTCTAATTGCGCTCATTCCGAATAGTACAAACGAAGTAAAATCCAACCTTGTGATTATGGTAGCGAAAACGAAAATCAATTGATTGGAAACCCTTTTGGGGCCACTTCAAACTTCAAAAGCAGAAGATTGCCACTAGACAGAATTTGGAGCCATTTAGTGTTAACACGTTGACGACCGCGCCATTTTGGGCGAAACTCCCACTAACGTCCTTCGCGCATTTGGCCCGTGCATACGCGCGGATGCACGGAAACATTATGTGGGAGTCTTTTTGACACTTATTAATAAAACATGCAAACTTTGTTCAGACATACAGGTATATTACAGAGCCTTACCAGGACTCACACAAATCAAGGTTTTTGCATCGATTTTCCCTCCAAAAATCCATGCAATGGCTATATCTGAGGAATCGCTCTTCGAGAAAAGCGTTGTAAAACCAGATGTTTTTTGCCTGATTCATCTTTGTTTGATTTCAGAACAGCTATACAGAGTTTTCACCTTCTCGAGAAAACGTAATTAGCATGTATTGACTACATCAAAAACGTACTGATTACCCAATTTTGCGGCCAAAACTTTTGAACAGCTGCCGCGAAGCCCTGTGTTCTGTAAGACAATCAGGCCACTAATAGTATTACTGCATAGAAGTTACCTTAAACCTTTTCGCTTGCACCTAAAAAACTAGCGTGCATATGCGCGGATGCACGAAAATGCTAAACGGGAGTCAGGGCGTGCATACGTGCGGATACACAAGGTCGTCAACATGTTAATCATGTTTCCAAACTCAAAAGACGATACTTTACTCGGACCCTCTATCTGCTCACTCGAGTTGTTGCTATGCTATGCTGATATTCTAGGTCAAGAGAGCATTATGCAAATAGTTTAGCCGCTCAAATAACATAAGTATATCAGATTCGGAAGCCTCAGTCTTTCTGTATTGTCGACTTGGATGATATTCAAAAGCGTGATCAGATCTCTGTCTATACCGGCAACTAAAACACTTTGAAGCATATTGAGACGCTCTCGAATCTTCGAACACTCGAGGGAACTTAACACAGATCCGAATACTCGAACACTTTATGAGGTTTTCCAATTTTGGAATGATTAAAACGGCAATTTTGAATGAAGCCTTATGTTCACTCATAACTTTTTTGTTGTCACTTAAGAAGTCGATTCAACATTTCAAACAGCATGCAAATAAACCCGAATGATTTTGAGAACTTATATCAACTAGCGACCCTACGGGTCGCTAGCAAGTGGGTAGGGGCAGATACAATATAAGGGCTTAGTTGTGATTATAAATATTTCTAAAGAAGTTTTCTTTGCCTTTGCTGAGAACATCTTTGCGAAGCATTCTACAAAAGGAGGACTGTTCGAAGAAGCAATAATCTCCACAAATCATTCAGCATTTCTCGAAATTCCTGCTGCAACCATGCATGGGGTAATATTTTTCTCTCGTTTACCACGCTCTTTCTGCAAATTCCCCTCCTCACAGAGACATTCAGATAACCCTCCCCCCCCCCCCCCCCACCTTTTCTACCCTCTCAAAGAAAATTTGCTCTTCCAGTTCTTCCCAACAATTTCCATAGAATATCGTCAAGGAAGTAGAAGAATACCTATCGTTTTGGAAGTAGAAATACACCCACAACAATTGTGTACTACAAAAAACACTTTTCCCTCAGAATCAACTCCGACAGCAACGAAATATCGTCTAAGAACTTTGTCAGAAAATTTTTCAATACTTTCGCCAAAAGAATATGAAGCTTTACTACATAAGTAGATCTCCCCGAAAAGCACACTACTGAGCCACCTAAAGACCGTCAATCATAAGAACTGCATAAACGTACAAAAAATTTGTTTCCCTGTCCAATTAAATTGCCCTACGTGCTGCTTGAAGACCGTTTAAAAATTATAAGAACTGCCCCAAACGTACAAAAATCTGTCCCCCTGCCCGATCAAGTTGCCCTACTTGCCCCTGAAGACCGTTTAAAAATTATAGGAACTGTCCCGAGCGTACAAAAATCTGTCCCCCTGCCCGATCAAGTTGCCCTACGTGCCGCTTGAAGACCGTTCAAAAATTATAAGAACTGCCCCAAACGTACAAAAATCTGTTCCCCTGCCCGATCAAGTTGCCCTACTTGCCCTTGAAGACCGTTTAAAAATTATAAGAACTGTCCCGAACGTACAAAAATCTGTCCCCCTGCCAGATCAAGTTGCCCTACGTGCCGCTTGAAGACCGTTCAAAAATTATAAGAACTGCCCCAAACGTACAAAAATCTTTTCCCCTGCCCGATCAAATTGCCCTACGTGCCGCTTACCGACCGATAATAACTATTCAAAAGAAAGTTTATGCCTATGTGCCGCTTGAAGACCGTATACATAAGAAAAACCAACCTTACGACTGTACGGAAAGAAAAAAAGAAAACAACGAAATCAAATATTTACAGCGTATTCTCAAATTGCCGTACATGCCACTTTTGGAATTTCAATTCTGAGAACTGCCCCAAGCGTACAAAAATCTGTTTCCCTGCTCGATGCAATTGCCCTACGTGCCGCTTACACACCGATTTCTAGTTGAAAGCACCAGCGGGACACATTAACAAGCAAAAGCAAGGCTGTTATTAGATAAACGTTTCCAAAAGTACCAACGAGACCAGGCTACTCACGCACTCTCTTGTCTACACGTGGAAGCAAGACGATCCTAAAGTGACTGTTCTTAGAGCATTTTTACAAGAGTTGGGAACTTAGATGAAATAAGCTCAAGTCACGCTGTTACGCAATTTGGCATCATTTCAAAAGCAACTAATAGGAGTACAACATATTTAAAAGACACATTCTGGGATAACAAGCTCGAAAAAAAGCAGCTAC